GAAACACATCTTTGAAGAAAAACGTAGATCTTAGATGGTGATTTATCTCAAATTGTCAATTAAATATCAATGTTAACAAAATTCAACGTCATTAATAGACCTTACACAAATTGATTTGGGTGAAATGTCAACTTGATAATTAAACGTCAAAAAGTAACTGACATCAAAGCGACGTTTTTGAAATTGATTTTTAATTTTTTATAAGAAATTAGATGGAAACACATCTTTGAAGAAAAACGTAGATCTTAAATGGTGATTTATCTCAAATTGTCAATTAAATATCAACGTTAACAAAATTCAACGTCATTAATAGACTTTACACAAATTGATTTGGGTGAAATGTCAACTTGATAATTAAACGTCAAAAAGTAACTGACATTAAAGCGACGTTTTAACAAATTGATTTTTAATTTTTTATAAAAAATTAGATAGAAACTCATCTTTGAAGAAAAACGTAGATCTTAGATGGTGATTTATCTCAAATTGTTAATTAAATATCAATGTTAACAAAATTCAACATCATTAATAGACTTTACACAAATTGATTTGGGTGAAATGTCAACTTGATAATTAAACGTCAAAAAGTAACCGACATCAAAGTGACATTTTAACAAATTGATTTTTAAATTTTTATAAGAAATTAGATAGAAACTCATTTTGAAGGAAAACGTAGATCGTAGATGATGATTTATCTCAAATTGTCAATTAAATATCGATGTTAACAAAATTCAATGTCATTAATAGACCTTACTGCTAAATATTCAATAAGCGGTACAGCGTCCTAGTTTATCGTCCGCAAACCGACCGACATGAAGTTGTACACAATCATCCGCAATAGTTAATCATCATAAAAAACCATTACGTTACAACCATTGTCATATATTTTTAAAATTAATCTTGTGTAATATATTGAGTGATTAGTGATTATTAAAGCAGATTACACTTACACAAATTGATTTAGGTGAAATGTCAACTTGGCAGTTAAATGTCAAATGTGACTTACGTTTGAAATGTCGCTTTATTAATTTTTATATTATCATCATCTTGATCTTGGCCTGTTCTAGGGTCAACATCCACTCCCTTCTATCTTGTGCCTTGGTCTTCCAGTTTCTAACTCCCAGCATTTTTAGACTTTCTTTTACCTGGTCTTTATTTAGGTCTTCATTTATCCATCGCCTATTCTTGCTGGCGCGTTTTAATGCTTTTATCTTATAAAATTGCTACCTCAATCCCAAAATCCTAAAATTACCTTACTTCTTTCTATCACTAACTTAACTTTAACCGAAAAGTACATGAAATGACTAATTTCACACTATTAAACATAACCTCAAAAAAAAATTACAAATGTCATCTTGTCAAAAATATAACGCGTATTGTTTAAAAAGAAAATATAACTTTAATTATTGAAAAAATAATAACTTATATCGTAACAATAAAGAAGAAAACGAAGTAAAAAAGTTTTATAATGGATTTAAAACATTAAATTTGTTTTAAAGTAAGTTTTAGGAATTAGTGATATAACCTTAAAAAAAGACAACATCTTTTTGTGATTATCTTTGTTTATTATTATTATTGATTTTAATTTATTAGGTGGTTCAGAATCCTGAAGATGATTTTAATAACACATCGAAACTGGTAGAGCTGAAAAACAGAAATAAATGGATACATCAAAAAGTGCAAAAAATGAAATTCCTCCAATTAAAAAGAAAATAAAAATGGAGATTTTTTGTTTCAATAGTGATCTTAAGCTAATTATATTTTGAACCTAAAATCCAAATTTAATCAACATCCTGTCTACATCGAAAATTTATGCTGAATAGGTCACGATCACAATTGAAACGAAAAGAATTTGCAAACAAACTTATCAAGTTTCGTCGACGAATCCTTAATTAATCAATGAATTAATCAAACGTCCGAAAAAATAAAATGACCCCCAAAAAAATAAAGGACCGGTATAAAAACTCCACCAAGCGCGGTTTTTTCAGTTCATTAAGAAATGGGTATTCAAAGCGCAACGAAATTGTACGATTTAAAATCGAAAATGGTTAAGTCGGTGTATTCGAAACCAAAAGTTGGAGAAGAAATTGTTATAACAGGTAAATTTAATTAAGTGTAGTAAAAACTTGATAATCTATATCAATTAAGACATGGGTAATTCAAATTGAAGTAAATTTATCTGTTTATATTATTTGTAGAACTACAATAATAGTAATAATAACATAAATAGTACATAATTATGCAAATTTAGGACTGCATAGATTGTTTATTGTTGAAAAAAATGCGTTATTTTATTTTGTTTTTGAATTGTTGGATCATTTAAATTAATTAAATGGATTAAAAGGTTTCTTAAAATACAAACTTCATGATAAGATACATCATTTTCTTCAGCCTTGTTATTCCAATAATTTTCTCCTGTATTTTCATTTTCCTCTTCATCTTCAATGTCATCTTAGTTTATTATTAGCCCATTTTGTCCACTTAACCACATTTTAACTTCATTAATTCTTGAGTATTTCTTTAGAATTGATATTTTTCAGCATCTTTCTATTTTGGATGGTCTAATTTTTTTCTAGAAATAGATTTTGCTTCATCAAAGCTAATGGTATTAGATCTATGTTTTTGCTAGTATGTGAGGTCCAACCTGACTTGTAATGTTGTAAATATGGTTGGTGATTTAGAACAATGATACATTTTGAGATAAATCATCATCTACTACCAACATTAAAAATCTATTTGTTAAAACGTCACTTTTAATTGATAATTTGAGATAAATCACCATCTAAGATCTACGTTTTTCTTTAAAGTTGAGTTTCTATCTAATTTCTTATAAAAAATTAAAAATCAATTTGTTAAAACGTCACTTTGATGTCGGCTACTTTTTGACGTTTAATTATCAAGTTGACATTTCACCCAAATCAATTTGTGTAAGGTCTATTAATGACGTTGAATTTTGTTAACATTGATATTTAATTGACAATTTGAGATAAATCACCATCTAAAATCTACGTTTTTCTTCAAAGATGTGTTTCTATCTAATTTCTTATAAAAAATTAAAAATCAATTTGTTAAAACGTCACTTTGATGTCAGTTACTTTTTGACGTTTAATTATCAAGTTGACATTTCACCCAAATCAATTTGTGTAAGGTCTATTAATGACGTTGAATTTTGTTAACATTGATATTTAATTGATAATTTAAAATAAATCACCATCTAAAATCTACGTTTTTCTTCAAAGATGTGTTTCTATCTAATTTCTTATAAAAAATTAAAAAACAATTTGTTAAAACGTCACTTTGATGTCAGTTACTTTTTGACGTTTAATTATCAAGTTGACATTTCACCACATCAATTCGTATAAGGTCTATTAATAAGTTTAAATTTCCAATTAATTTTTTTAAAACACTCACATTGACGTTTAATTAATTAGTTGACAATTTTAAAGTTGTTAAGTACGAGACTTTACCCCGTAATTGATTTTTACACGATATATTAAAATTAATAAAGCGACATTTCAAACGTCACGTTTATAAGAGTTTGCGTTGCCAACCTCCATTTCAATAACGTCATTTGACACTTAAACGTCATTTTTAAATTAAAAAAAATCGATTTCTTTTAATATTTAAAATGTTAATTTAATTAAAATATCGTTTTATGTTAAAATTGATTGAAATTAATATAAATTTTTTTTTTTATCGTATTTGACTATGTTCAGGTCGGACAGAGAACTTATTTTAAAATTAAATTTAACTTCATTTTTACATATAATATTATTTGGTGAGTTGAGATATTAAAAATTGTAAATTAATTTAATTAAATTGTAATTAATTATTCATAAAAAATTTCAATCTCTCAAATCGTATAAGATCAATTAATAATAACTTTAAATTTTCAATTAATTTTTACTTATAAATGTATACAAAATCATTCATTAATGACACTTATTTTAACATAAAAATCTAACCTCACTTTTAATGTGTCAAAAGTCAAAACTTATTATTGTAGTCTTACTGAATAGATATAGTGGTCGGTTGGGTCGGTATTACAGATTTCATTCGAGAATATTTACTAAATTGACTACTATATTAGTTCGGTCGGACTTTCTTAACGTTTACAAGTGATAGAATTGGGTGATTTTTCAACGATGGGTTTTTATATTTTGTTGAAAAGACAGTCAACGGAAAAATATTGTAACTAACTCATATATTAAAATGCGATTAATTAATCGCCTTCATTAATACACTTGTTGGTTAAATAACTATTAAAACATTTACATTGATGTTACTATATTAATAGACGGATATTAGCGGTTTTGAGAGACGTGCAGCTAAACCCGAATGTTTCTAGTTTTTGGTCTAGTTTTTTTGCAATAGAAATATGCAATATAGTGATATCTTATGCAAACCAATGTCAAAAACGAATTTAATTATTTTTTGATAAAAGTTGAAATGATCGTAGTAATAAGGATCAAAAAGCATTTGATTTGATACCAAACATGACCTATTTAGGTTAAAAAATGAAAAAGTTAGGTTAGAATCTGTCAAATGTCAAAATCGAATTTAATTATTTTTTGATAAAAGTTGAAATAACCGTAATAAGAATCAAAAAGCATTTGATTTGATACCAAACATGACCTATTTAGGTTAAAAAATGAAAAAGTTAGGTTAGAATCTGTCAAATGTCAAAATCGAATTTAATTATTTTTTGATAAAAGTTGAAATGACCGTAATAAGAATCAAACAGCTTTTAAATTAATACCAAACATGACCTATTTAGGTTAAAAAATAAATAAGTTAGGTTAGAATCTGTCAAATGTCAAAATCTAATTTAATTATTTTATAATAAATGTTGAAATAATCGTAATAAGAATCAAAAACCTTTTAATTTGATACCAAACATGACCTATTTAGGTTAAAAAATAAAATGTTAGGTTATGAATTTAACAAAAAACCCGCCATTTTGTTTTCTTGACGTAATTTCAGTATTATCGTAAATATGTCGAGTTTGGATTCATTTTAAAGGATTTTAAATTTCCTTTACGATGCAATAGGTTAGAAACGAAAATTTGTTAGGTTAACAATCAACAAAGCTGTCAAACGTCAAAATATGACATTAACTGTCAAAAATATGAATATGAATTTCGAATGTGTTAATTTTTAGTCTTCAGATGCACGACTAAACCCAATACTTTCTAGTGCTAAGTGTAGTGTTAGTTCTACTTTTAGACTAGCATTATTACTAGAACTGACACTAGAACTAGAAACATTCGGGTTTAGCCGCACGTTTCTCAAGACGGCTAAACCCGAATGATTCTAGTTCTAGGTCTAGTGTTAATTCTAGTTTTAAATGTATTTAGCGTTGGATTGTGGTTTATTTTTATTGAAAGAAAAGTAGAACTAACACACAACTAACCTAACAAAGTTGGGTTAGAATCTGTCAAATGTCAAAATCGAATTTAATTATTTTATTATAAAAGTTGAAATGATCGTAATAAGAAATAAAAATCTTTTAATTTGATACCAAACACGACCTATTTAGGTTAAAAAATGAATAAGTTAGGTTAGAATCTGTCAAATGTCAAAATTGAATTTAATTATTTTTAGATAAATGTTGAAATAATCGTAATAAGAAACAAAAATCTTTTAATTTGATACCAAACGTGCCCTATTTAGGTTAAAAAATAAAATATTAGGTTAAGAATTTAACAAAAAACCCGCCATTTTGTTTTTCATGACGAATTTCAATATTGTCGTAAATAGGTCGAGTTTGGATTCATTTTAAAGGATTTTTAATTTCCTTTATGATGCAATTGGTTAGAAACGATTCTAAAATATTAAAAAATTAATAACATTTTTTTTTATTAACAAAAAATATTTTTTCTATAAATTCTTAATTTTTATTAAAATCAAAAAGGTTAGGTTAAGAATCAATAAAAAATCCGCCATTTTGTTTTATTTTGACGTAATTTTTATATTATCGTAAATAGGTCGAGTTTGGACTCATTTTAAAGGACTCAAAAAATTTTTTATGATGCAATAGGTTAGAAATGAAAATTTGTTAGGTTAAGAATCAACAAAGCTGTCAAACGTTAAAATATGACATTAACTGTTAAAAATATGACACTTTACACATTAAATTTCAAATGTATTAATTTTTAGTTTTCAGGCGCGAAACTTTCTAGTTCTAGGTCTAGTGTTAGTTCTAGTTTTAATTGTTATTAAGCGCTAGATTGTTACCACTAATAGCAACATACCTTGGCAATTTGCTATAATATGGCGTCAAATTTGGCAGGATACTCTGCTATTGTCACTTCTGGTTATTCTGTGGTTCGGTGCTTTCCCCAACTTTTTTTCAATCTACACAGCGTCATTAAATATTATATTTAAGCACAGCAAAGTACCTTTTTATGCTGATGATATCTTAACTTATTGAATGTAGAGCTAAAACAACTTGTATTAGTTGCCACCCAACATGACTTGGTCTTCAATCCCAACAAATCAAAGGTTATGGTATTTTATCTAAACTTAACTTTGGAGATGTTGTGTTATTATCAAGTCTTTACGGTATTAAAAATTTCTAAAATAAATAATTTCTTTTTAGGAATGGCTGGAAAATTTCCTGATTCTAACGATGTCAATCATTTCCGCGATAATCTCTTTAATAAGGTTGATTTAGTTTCTGGGGATTATAGGAGGTGGAAACCGATTCATCCGGAGGTTCCGCAAAGAACCGGAAAAATGTTTGATATTGAGAAATTCGACGCGGGGTTCTTTGGGATTCCCAAAAATCACGCGCATAACATGGATCCAATGTCTCGATTGATTTTAGAGAGAGTTTACGAGGCTTTAATTGACGCGGGTCACCATCCTTCTGATTTAGAAGGAACAAAAACCGGGATTTATTTGGGGTGTTGCTTCTCAGAAACTGAAAAATCAACTTTTTGGCACAACCTAACAAATTGCGACCCAATAACGGGGTGCCAACGTTCCATGTTGGCGAAAAAAATAAGTTATTATTTTAAATTAAACGGGGTGGGTTTTATTGCTGATACGGCTTGTAGCAGCACTTTATTCGCTTTAGAACATGCTTATCGACATATTAAAGAAGGAATTTCTGAAAAAGCTATCGTTTGCGGCACCCAATTATGTTTGCATCCGATTGTTTCGTTGCAATTTGCTCGATTGGGGGTTTTAAGCCCGGATGGTTCTTGCAAATCGTTTGATGACGCCGGAAATGGCTACGCAAGATCAGAAGGAATCGTTGCGATCCTTTTAGAAAAATCTAAAGATGCGAAAAGGATTTACGCAGAGATTGTGCATTCAAAAACAAATTGCGATGGTTATAAAGAGCAAGGAATAACATTCCCTTCATCGGGGATGCAAAAAGTTTTGATGAAAGAGTTTTATGAGGAGTGCCAAATTGATCCTGCAACGTTAAGTTTTGTGGAAGCACACGGAACCGGGACGAAAGTTGGTGATCCTGAGGAATTAACGACGTTGGATGAGATTTTTTGTAAGAATAGGAATCGCCCTTTGCATATCGGGGCTGTTAAATCAAGTATTGGGCATAACGAACCAGCTTCGGGGATATGCTCGATCGTAAAAGTTTTAATTGGGTTCGAATCGGGGTTTATCCCCCCCAATATTAATTACACCACCCCAAGGAAAGGAGTTGAAGGCTTAGAAAAGGGTAGACTCGTCGTTGTGACGGAAAAAATCCCATGGCCTGATAATTTCGGCTTGGTTGGGATAAACAGCTTTGGATTTGGTGGAGGAAACGGCCACTTATTGTTACGTTGGAACCAAAAAGTTAAAATAAACGGGGGAATCCCCAAAGATGATTCACCAAGATTAATTTGCGCATCGGCAAGAAATAAAGATGCGATTACATCGATTTTCGATGAAGCCTCAAAGATGGATTCGGAATTTATTAAATTAATCCACCAAGTGTTTAGCAAAACGATCCCAAATTCGATTTATAACGGATTTTTGATAGCCGAAAAAAGCGGCGAGATCAAAAGAGTCATCAAAGAAAATTTAATTAAGAAAAAATTAAGAATCGTCTTCAACAACATCGACAAAAATTGGTACCAATTAGGGGCGAAATTAATGGAAATCCCCCCATTTTCCGGATCAATCCAACAAATCCACGAAATAATCAACAAAGAAATCCAAATTAACATCACCGAGATTCTCACTGACCAAAAAATAAGAAACTCAACGCAAAATTTCCTCGGATTTATCGCCGTCCAATTAAGCTTGGCCGATTTAATCAAAAATTTGAATTTGGATTTTAACGAAATCGTTGGGGTGGGATTTGGGGAGTTTTCCGCTGCTTATTTAGACGGGGTTTTAACGCTAAAAGAAGCTATACTTGGTGCTTATTACACATTGATGGGAAATAGAGATAAAATTAAAGGAATTTTTGCAAACAAAGTTTTAAAACCGAAAAAATGGGTTAATAAGCAAAAAGATTCAAAGAAATTTATCCAACCCTTAGATTATTTCATGGAAATTGTTTCAAACCCGATTCATTTTGAGGATGGATCCAAAAATTACATCAATTTAGTTATTGGGGAAGCTAAAAATGAAAAATCTGATTTGGTTTTGATTAGAAATGAATCAAATCCGATTTATGAGTTGTTAAATTCTTTGGGGGAGTTGTCTCTTTGGGGATTCCCCTCACAATTGGATTATATTTACCCAAAAATTTCTTTCCCGGTGAGTAGAGGAACCCCGATGATTTCCCCATTAATTAAGTGGAACCACTCCGAAAATTACACCGTTCATTTATACGAAAAAGACGAGGAGCAACAAAGTGGGCAACGCGTCATGCACATTTCGGCGCGTTTAGAAGAATGGACTTTTATAACAGGGCACGTAATCGATGGAAGAAATTTATTCCCAGCCACTGGGTACTTGGCGCTAGTTTGGGAGTCTTACGCCATGATTATCGGGAAATTAATGAGCGACACAGCGATGGTTTTTGAGGATGTCAAATTTTTACGCGCTGCCAATATCCCAAAAGAAGAAACTTTAACGTTAAAAGTAATCCTTCAACTTGAAAATAAACTGTTTGAAATCATAGAAGGTGATAATTTATTAGTTACTGGGACTGTTTATGCTTTAATTGGGGACGAAAATAAAATGAATCACCCCGAAATTATTTTAAGCGGGGATGAGGAAGAAACCGCAATGAATCAACGCGACATTTACAAAGAATTAAGATTACGAGGTTACCAATATTCGAATAAATTCATGGCGATTAATTCATTTAATTTCCACCAAAATAAAGCGATGATTTCTTGGGAGGGGAATTGGATTGCTTTTATGGATAACATGCTCCAAGTCCAAATACTTTCTCAAGACACAAGAAATTTATACGTCCCAACCAGCATCAAAAAAGTCATCATCGATGGGCCTCAACACATAAAAAGCGCAACAACCAACAACAACTTAATCCCCGTTATTTACCACGAAGATTTATCAACAATTAAAGGGGGCGGAATCGAAATAATCGGCTTAGGGGCCAACGCAATGTCGCGAAAAAAAGCAGCAGAACCAGTTTTAGAATCATACAAATTCACCCCATATCACGACAAATTACAAAAACCGCAAGCAATTAGAAGCTTCGTCCAAACAATCTTAGAAAACTCAACCACAATTAAAGTAAAAGCCGTTGAATTAATCGCCGAAGAAGACGATGAACCTCTCTTAATCTTAGTACAAGAGAGTTTGGGTGATTTACCTTTAATCCAGGCAGAGTTAAAAATTCTCTCAAAAAACGAAAATTTAGATCTCCCCGGAATTACGGTTGAAGATAAAAGTCTCAACACAGAAACTCATTGTCTTATTTTAATAACAAAAAATATTTTTGAAAACCCCACCTTTTTATCATCAGCTTTAAAAGCAACCAGAGACGCCTCCGGGTTTATTATTTCCAAAGAAAACCGAAACGCACCCATTAAAGAGCACCCCCAAATCCAAATTTTATCTTCCTACGAAAACGACGACAACAAATTAATTCTCATCAAAGAGTCATCTCAATACGTCGAAAAACTCCCGATTAAAATAACCGAAATAAACGATTTCTCATGGATTGAAAATTTCCGTCAAAAATCGTCATCGAATCGGGTCGTTTTGTATTCGGAAAAAATCGAAATTAATGGGTTGTTGGGGTTAACGAATTGTTTGAGGAGGGAACCTTCGGGGGTTAACACTTCGCTTGTTTTGGTGACAGAAAACGCGCCCCAATTTAACGTTAAAGATCCCTTTTATAAAACTCAACTTGAAAAGAATTTGGCCATAAATATTTTTAAAGATGGAAAATGGGGTTGTTACCGACACTTTTTGTTAGATCGGATTGAAAGTGTCCAAAAAGAACATTGTTACGTTAATGTTACATCGCGAGGGGATCTCTCAACTTTGAGATGGATTGAGGGGGCGTTGTGTTCTACGTCTATTTCGGAACCGGAAGCGGAACTTGTTAATGTAATTATTTCTTTTTATTAAAGCTAAGTTTCCACATGCACGGATTACTGGCGCTTGTTCATTTGCAAAAAAAACACGGGCGCCAATAAATTGGTGGAAATAATCATTAAGTTGACGCTACTTGTACTTTTTGGCGCCAGTAACAATAGTTATAAAGCAAACGTGTAACTATTAACGTGTTCGTCCAACTAAAATGTACAAATCCGCTAATAAACTGTCCAAAAAATGGATATCAGAACAAACGGTACTGTTTCTAGAAACGTATGCACAATATACTTGTTTGTCAATATCTATATACAGTGTGACCCGTTTGAAAGCGGAACACCCTCGTAAAATTTGTATTTATTATCCGATTTCGATAATTTTTTTTTTAATTGTAGAGCGTAAAACCTGTACCTTAGGAGAAAGAGTGAAATTTTTCTTAAAAAAACCAAAGCCTACTATTTCACTTTTTAGGTGCTAAAAATGAAGAAATCATATTAGGAAATTTTTTACAAAAAATCTGAGTACAGGGTGTCCCAATTTCGATGTCCGCATAGGTCATCTCCGAAACTAAAAGAGATAGAAAAAAAGTAGCTCGTTTTTCGAGAAAATGCTAATGCCGAAAACTCCGAACAGCTATCGTCTTTTGTTTTCGTCCTATCGGCAAAAACTGAAAATTATGCGAAAACGACAATCGCGAATATCTCACTTATTATCAAAGATGGAGTATTATAAATAAAACATTATATGGGCAACTTTTTACGAAGAATTCAGTGGCGTAGGTAGAATTTTTTTCCCATCTTTTATTTTCGAGATTT